CTTCCCAGCATTCTTAGTTTGGTCTCCCTGTCTATACTTCCTGCCTGGCTACTAGCCAAGTAGCATTTTATTAAACCAATTCAAGTGACAAATCTTTATAGTGTACAAGAGGAGTATTCTACAACAACAGTCTATTCCTATTCTTTTATTAATCCTGATTTGAGCCAAACAGAGAGAGCTTCTAGCCCACCATTGTTCCCTAAATTATTCTTTCTCTAAGAAATTACAACACATTTTTATTAAAATGTACTTTTTTGGCATTAGTGTTCAACTGTGTCATATATGTTGTTTTCTCATACTTTATCTAATTGTCTAATGACTTCTAATGACCACTAGACATCTTATATTAAATTTTTTAGTTTATATACACACTAAAATTTTTATTGTGGTAAAATGTGTGTAACAAAAACTCCTATTTTATATATTTATTATTATTCTCTGTGTGTGTGTGTGTGTGTGTGTGTGTGTGTGTGTGTGTGTGTGATTGTATGTGGTACATGCTTGTGAATGTACAGGTGCATGCACCCTTGTGCATGTATGTAGAGGACAAAGTGGAGGTCCTTGGACATCCTCTTCTATCACCATCCTGCTTACTGCCTTTAGGTGAGACTCTTCTCTGAACTGGAAGCTTATTGCCTTTGCTAGGCTGTGTTGTCAGCAAAGTCCAGAAACTAACCCATCTCTACCTTCCAATTGCTGGGATTATAGGTGTGATCAGATTTTAACATGAGTGCTGGGGATTCAGACTAAGGTCTTCCTGTTTTCCGAGATAAGTGTTCTTACCCACTGAGTCATTTCCCCAGCCCCTATTCTTATGCTTCTTATCATCTCCTGTTAAGATGATATGTGAGTAAACATTTTGTTGGCAAAAAAACCCATTTTGTTTTCCTTGATAGCACAATTAAAACTTATGTAAATTTCCACTATTGTTTAATATTAGATAAATTCAAATATCAAAACTGAATATATTCTATTTCCCTCAGTTACCTCTCAACCACACTGAATTTTTTTTTCATTTCGAATTTTTTTCTTAAGAAATTTTCTACTCCACATAAGATCCACAGATCCCCCCTCATCCCTCCTCCCACCCCCCAGCCCTCTTTCCTGAGCCACCCCGCATCCCCACATTCCCCAAACCAAGATCTCCCATAGGGAGTCAGCAGAGCCCAGCACACTGAGCCTGGGCAGGTCCAAGCTCCTTCCCACTGCACCAAGGCTGTGCAAGGCATCACACGGCAGGTACCAGATTCCCAGAAGCCTGTCCATAGACCAGGGACAGATCCCAATCCCCCTGCCTGGGTGCCCCCCAAACAGTTCGAGCCAAACAACTGTCTTCCATATCCAGAGGGCCTAGTCCAGTCCCATGGGGGCTCCACAGCCACCAGTCCACAGTTCATGGGCTTCCACTAGTGTGGCCGGTCATCTCTGCACGTCCTCCCATCATGATCTCCATGTCCCTCGGCTACAGAATCCCTCCTCTCTCTCATCAATTGGATTCCCGGAGCTCAGCCTGGAACCACACTGAATGTTAAGTTACAATTTTAGAGTGTTCTCTCCCTCCTTCCCTCCCCCTCCCCCCTCTCTCTCCCTCCCTCCCCTCACCTTCACTCTTTCATTTACTCTTAAACATGAAGGCAAACATCATGATGAGCAGTTTTTCCCTCTTAGTTCTCAGATTTTCCTTTGGTTGGGGTTATAGATTTTTTATTATATTTTTATAATTTAAATCAATTATAAACTTTAAATATATTTTGATCATATCCTTCCCCTCCCCCAATTCCTTCCAGATCCTCCCCCTCCCTACTCAACCAACTTCAAGTTCTTTCTCAAAAAAAAACAAAAACCCAGTACAACAACAAAATCCCCCCAAACCAAGAAAAAAAAGATACACACACACACACACACACACACACACACACACACACCCCAAGCTATAACCAAATAAAAGCACACACAAAAAAACTGTGGAGTCCATTAAATGTTGACCAACTACTCCTGAACATGAGCCTTTCCTAGGTTGGTTGATATATCCAATGTCACTCCATTGGAGAAAACTAATTTTTCCCTCTCCTAGCAGGTACGAATAACAGTTCAATTGTTAAGCTTTACCCTAGTGCCTAGGTATTCATTTGTTCATTCATTCATTCATTCATTCATTCATTCATTCGTTTTTTAAATAAAGTAAAATGAAATAGAATAAGATAAAACAAAAGCTATCACATCAAAGTTAGACAAGACAAACCAACAGAAGGAAAAGAGCCCAAAAGAAGGCATAAGAATCTGAAAGACACTCATTCACACACTTAGGAATCCCACAAAAACATTAAACCGGAAGCCATAATATATATGCAGAGGACCTACTGCAGACCCGTGCAGGCCCTGTGAATGATGCTTTAGTCTCTGTAAGTTCGTATGAGCTTTGTTCACTTTGATTTAGAGGGCCTTGATTTCTTGGTGTCCTACACCCCATCTGGCCCTTATGCTCTTTCTGCCTCCTCTTCTGCAGGATTCCCTGAGTTCTCAGGGGAGGGATTTTTTTTTTTTTTAGTTTTCCTGTGTTTATTATTTTTTTTAAGAAATTTTTTATTCATTAAATACCAATTACAGATCCTCCTCTTCCCTCCTCCCGGCCCTCCAGTCTCCCCTCTCTAACCCACCCCCTATTCCCTCCTACAAGAAGATAGCACCTCCCATGAGGAGTCATTAGAGCCTGGTACATTTAGTATAGGCAGGTCCAAGCTGCCTCAAGGCTATTAGAGGTGTCCCACCATAGGTAGTCGGCTCTAAAAAGCCAGCTCATGCACCAGGGATGGATGCTGATCCTGCTGCCAGGGGGCCCCTTGAGCAGACCAAGCTACACAACTGTCTCAATTACACAGAGGGCCTAGTCCAGTCCCATGTAGGCTCCACAGCTATTGGTCTAAAGTTCATGAGTTTGAGGGGAAGGATTTGATGCAGATATCCCAGTAAGGGCTGAGTGTTCCAAGTTCTCTTTCTCTGCATGATGTCTGGTTGTGGGTCTCTTTTTTGTTCCCATCTACTACAGGCGGATGCTTCTCTGATAACAAGACACTAATCTATAAATATAGCAGAATATCATTAGGAGTCATTTTATCACTACATTTTTTTATTTTTTTAGACCAATATTATTTGGGTTTACATTGGGTCCCTTGTCTATCTAGTCTCAGGTTCTTGGTCACCCAAGCAGTGTTGGGTATGGGTTCTGTCTCATGGAGTGGACCGTAGATCAAATCAATTATTGGTTGTTTACTCCCACTAGCTTTGTGCCACCATTGCCCTAACTTATCTTGCAGTTAGCACACCACTGTAGATAAAGGGTTTGTGGCTGGATTAGTGTCTACTTTTCTCTTTTGATAGAGTACCTTCCTGTCCTAAGATGCTGAAATGTGGAGGTGAAGGCTCTATGTAGGCACCAATTCAACATCTCTATATTCAATGAGCTGTGTAGATGTTGTCTTCAGCAGTGAGGCTTGCTGTCAGTTTGTGGAGAGCAGCCTATAGTCTTGGCAACAGTTGGGTTGTTTGGGGATTTCTGTGGAGCCCCTTTGGCCTAAAATTCAATTATATATAACCCAATACCAGTACTGGAAGGTTTATTTGGTGACAAAAGATGGCCAGCTGGTACTCTGTCTCCCTATGATTTGGTGATTTCATTTAGGTTGCTTTCATATACATACATACATACATATATATATCTTAGAAAGTTTCTTCAATATTTCATACTACCCCTCAAATGTTCCTTAATTTTAATGGTCTCTCCCCTTATTACCTCCCACAATACCCTCTCTTCCCCCTCCCCACTTAATCTTCCCTGTTCTGCCCTGCTTTGCTGTTCATTTCACACATTTACATCTAAGTACATCTAGGTAGGAATGAGGTTTAGTGGTAGAGCACTTGCTTAATATGTGAAAGGCTCTGGGTTCAGAATGCCTAAGTTAAATTTTTTAAATTGTGTTTTCTTCCATATTTTGTGCTTACTCTTTGCCTATAGGCTAAAATAATTGTTTCCCAAATATCTTCACTGTGTTGTTTACTATTTTAGGAGCTTGTTATTGTTCCTTACTGCTATTATCAAATTCAAGTGTAGGTCTGGTCTTCAAAGTGATTCATTCTTACTTTCCCCCTAACTATTCAGCCTTAACCGTGATCAGAATATATTATATGAAAAAAATCTATTTTCAACAAAAAAGAAAAAATGATACAATTAACAACTTGTACTTTGATATCAAGAATTTCTCATTTGCTAAATTTACCCTACTTGTCATTAATTAAATATGTCTTGCTCCTCCCCGTTTGATTTTGCATATGCTACTGTCCTGATCTGAATGCCATGCTCTTTGCAGCACTTCAGAATGGCAGAAAGAGAGCTCTTGGGTTAGTAACCATAGCTTAGTGGACAAAGGCATCTGCCATCATGTCTGACAACCTGAGTTCAATCCCAGAGCCCGTGTATATATATATACCTTTTAGCTTCTACCACAAATACTTAAAAATTGTTATGTATTTCCTTGAAAAAAAATAAAAATTTACAAATGTTTTACTATTTAAAGAGCCTTTAAATAGTGTATTAAATATATTATGCCTTTACAGAGTATAAAGGTATAATAATAAAATATTAAATAGTAACAGGTACATTATACCTTTAAATATAATACCTGGTTAGTATAAATTTAAAAACATTGAACTCATTGCATAATATTTTAGTTTAATACAATTACTGTATTCATATTAACAAAGTGTGTCATTATGGTATGTTAGAAGCCTGGAAAGAAAATTAATTTCTACATCTTTACAGATGTTTTATAGATAATTGTATTTTATAATTATATTTTAAAAGTATTCAAATAAAATTATTTTTTATAGTGCTAAAAAGATTGAAGTTTATAATGTTTATAAACATTTTAGGGCTTGATTATGAAAATTATTTCATGTTTTTATCTTTGCAAAATGAACTCTAATATATTGTCTTTATCTATTAGTTTTCCAATCTTTGAAAATCCATATCCAATGGACATTCATGAGTCACCAGTAACATGCACAGCATATTTTGCCGATTGCCCTCCAGATTTGATTCTAGTACTCTATTCTATAGGAGTCAAGCATAAAAAACAAGGATACAGTAATAAGGTAAAATTTTCCTATATTTGTATGTGTGTTCATGCTTTTTCTTGTCATTTTATTTCCTGACTTTCCATACAAGATGACTTGAATGAAACTTTTGAGAAGTTGTAAGATGGCATTGTCAAAGATGTAACCAGTAAAATTCAATTTCCTGACTGTGGCATAGTTCTAAGCCTAGAAGGTATAAATTTCCCATACACTAAGTATGTAATTACATACTAAGATCTATTTATCAGTCATGCTTATTTTGTACTACATATATAAAGTAACAGAACCCTAGTATGTGCCCTTTAATTCTTTTACATGGATCATGTTTTAAGAAATTCAAGAATCAGTTCTTTCTAATTTATCATTTGAAAGACATAATTATTAAAACATTTTTGCTAACATAATGACATTTTTCTTTGCAATGTTTAAGATATAAGTATTTATAATTATCATAAACTGTCTTATACAGTTTCTGTTATTGGCCCAGGATAACTGAAATGTACAATTTAAAGAAGAACTACTTACATACCATTCTGGGTTAAATGGTACCACAGTAGCTTGTTGGCAATACATATTACATGACATATGTTGCAACACATATCCATGTAAAAATACTTTTTTTATTGGTTTGTATAAGTGGTAATATTAGATAAAATCTATTTTTAAAGGAGTTGTTATTCTGCCTTTACAGATCTATTTAATAAAAGAATTGAAGATAACTATACACTTGAAGTATTTTTATTATTTTATAACATTTAGTTCTAAAATTCTAAGCATTTAAACTGAAAAAATAAAACCCATCTGTTCTCCTTGATAATCTATTTAGGAATGGCCAGTCAGTGGAGGAGCTTGGAATCTTGGAGCACAAACTTTTCCAGAAATTATTATTACTGGGTAAGTAAGAAGTTTTCTCAGTTGGAAATTATAAAAAAATTATGTTATAAATTTAATAACAATAAAATACTTGTTAAGCCTTGACATTTTTATGAAATTGTACTCTATGCAGATGAATCATTTAAGAAAAAGTAAGAAGGAAGAATCTGAGAAATAGCTTTAATTCATAGTTCTTAACTTTAATGAAAGATACAACCAAATTGCTAGAAAAAGAATTACAACAAAAGAATTCTATTTAGATTATATTAGCAGAAGAAAGTCATAGGGAAATTATGAGATGAGAAAGATTTCACAAGAAATGCTTTATTTGGAAGTCATAGGATAATAACTGAACAAACCTCATTACTACAAACTTCAGGAATCATGCTTTATATCCCTTTGCTATGGTTGAAGGTAAGATGTCCTCCACAGGCTCAAGCATTTCCTTCTTGATGCCTGCCAGGTAGTGCTATCTAGGGAGAAGGGAGAAACTCCAGGAGGTGGAATCCAGAGAAGAAAATAGACCACTGGATGCATGCCTTAAAGAGCTATACTAGTCCCTGGTCCCTTCTTTTTTTCTTTGCTTCCTTTCCATCCACCTTGAGGTGAATAACTTGTCCATGCTCCTGCTGCTGTGGTGTGAACTGTTCTTCCACATCCTTCCTGTCATGATGGACTGTGAACCCTTGAACAAAACCAACCTTTCCTCTCTTAAGTGTTTGAATCAGGTATTTTATTGCAGTGTCAAAACATTCATCAAATGGCTAAACTTTGCTTCAAAACTTATAGCATCAGAAATGTCACTACTTTGTAAACCAACCCTCTTCATGTTCTGACATTAGGAATCAAAAAGAGACATAGCTACATATAAACATAGAATCTACATTGTTAATACAAAGTTCTTTAATAGTAAATTTTGTATTAATGATAACAAGTTCATCTATCCCAGACAAAACAAATAACAGAAATGATTTCTCCTTAGCCAAAGAATAAGAAAATGAGCACATTACTGAGACATGAATCTTACACAAGCTAGTATCTCTAAGTTAAAACACACACACACACACACACACACACACACACACACACACACACACACACACACACACACACACACACACACTCTGTGGACCCAACCCATTCCAGCAAAGACCAAATTCAGAGCTTACACTTTCATCATTACCAGGCTCTAAAGAAGTTCTCCAGTTTCCCTTCTCAGAAGACTGAGTGGACCAGAAACTTTCATCTCCAATGAGTAAAACCCATCTCTGGTGATATCAGTAGAAATCACATGAAGCCAGGATTCCCAGCACTGTCCAGCAAGAGTGAGCAGCAGCCACTATTCCCTATCCCTTTATCAGTGTCAGTCATGTGAGGTAGGAGAAAAGAATGCTAGAAAAACATTCAAAGAAATAATGGCTGGAGTCCTAATAAATTTAGCAAAAATGTGAACCTACAGAGTTTAGAAGTTGGAATAAAACCCAAAACATCCACATCAAGATATATTTGGTCAAACTTTGCCACGGTAAACACCAAGGAAAAGTGTTGAGAGACACAAAAGAGAACAGGCCTCCCACACATAAAACTAAACTAATATGATGAATGATAGGTTGTGCATCAGAAAACCTTTAAGACAGCCAGGATTGCCAACCAGGGCTAGGCACACAGCCACCATGATGGGAAGCAACATGTCTGAATGCTTGGCTGATGGCATGTGCCAGCCCTGCCAGGCCCAGCTTGTCCTTACAGAGCAAGTCATCAACAGCAATGGGGTACTCTACCATGAGCAATGCTTTGTGTGTGCTCTTGTATAAGTTTGAGGGCCAGAAGTACTTCGAACATGACTTCCAAATGCTGCGGATTCTGCGGTAAGTTTGTCACTGGACACATGATCAAGGCCATGAGGTTGATGAACTGGCATTCAGGCTGTTTTCGTTGTGAGCTGTGTTTTATGGAGCCAGCTGACCTGAGCTTTGTGAGGAACACAGGGACACCTCTGCTGGCCTAGCCACAATTCATCTGTCAGCGGTATCCCCTGGCCATTGATGAGCAGCCCCTAATATTCAAGAACAACGCCTACCACCTAGACCACTTGAGCTGCTCTCACTGGAGGAAGGAGCTGACCCCTGAGCCCAAGAACTGAAGCATGACACCACTCTACTGCCCGCCTTGCCACGACAATATGGGTGTCCCCATCGAGGGCTGTGGAGTAGAGGCACTGGTCAAACAGTGGCATGTGGAGCACCCTGTCTGTGCCAAGTGTGAAAAGCCATTCCTGTAGCACCGGCAAGTGTAAGAAGGGCCCGGCCTGCTCTGAGTCCTACTGTAATCAGACCTTTGGGGATGGAGAGCTGCTCCAACAGCAGTCACGGGAGTGAGGGTGACGGAACAAGTTTGTGGAGTTCCACAGGAGGCCTGTGTGTAAGAAGTGCTATAAAAGCTCCCCCTGGAGCTGAGGAAGAGCCTGAAGAAGCTGTCTGACCTGACTTCCCAAAAGGCCTGGCCAAGTCTGTGGACATCAACTCAGTCGAAGTGTCCTTGGCCTCCATTTACCTGCCTGCAAAACCTGCCCAAATTCCTGATGGTCACCTCCCACTTCTGCTCCATCCCAACATCCTTCCTTTGGTATGTCACCCTTTCTGTGCCCAGTCTGCCCTGGGCTACATAGTACTCCTCTCCTGGGTCCTTTCATCTTACGCCCACATCTCCAGGAACAGAAACAAATCGAGGTGGGGTGGGGGTAGTTGAAGGACATCCATGTTGTTAGGGATATAAACAGGGTATTTTCAATTGAAGAAATTAGAACAGCTAAGAAATAACTGAAAAAATGGTCATCTTCCTTAGCAATTAGGGAAATATAAAAACAAAACAAAACAAAAAAAAACTTTGAGATTTTGTCTTACTCCAGTCAAAATGGCTAAGAACAACAAAACAACTGACAATTTCTGGTGAGGTTGTAGGGAAAGAGGAACCCTTATTCACTGTTGGTAGAAATGCAAATATGTATAGCCACTCTGGAATCAGTATGGATAATTCTGAGAAAACTAAAAATAAATCTTCTATATGACCCAGCTATGCCATTCCTTGGCATATGCCCAAAGGATGCAACATCGTACTCTACAGATACTTGTTCAGCAATGCTCGTAGCTGCCTTCTTCACAATAGCCAGGAAAGGGAAAAGAGCTTTATACAGTGGGCAGAGGTAGCTTTGGAAGTGTTTTAAAACTAGATTATAGTGTCCATGTGAATGATATATAAGTTAACTACAATATTTAACCTTACTGACAGTGCATAAAATTATATTTTAATAAATCTGTTGAAGTAAATTATTTATGACATCCATCCATTAAAACTGCTAAACATACAAATGGGAATCAACATCTAAACTATGTTGCATTCACACTCACACTCACACACGCACACGCACACGCACACGCACACACACACATACATATACATTCCAATATAGCTTCACTATATCTTTAGAATGAGACCTAAACTATAGGTAGTTTGAGTCCTGTAACCTTTAGTTTTTCAAAATTATTTTGACTGTTTTAGTTTCCTTACATATAAATTTTATAATCAGTTTATTTCTATAATTTAAAAAAAATATTCCACTGAGCATTACACTCAATCTATGTTTGTGAGAACCACTATAAATGTTATGATCATCTGAAACATACTATTACTGTTCTTTTATGAATATGTCTTCTTTCAAGCATTTTATGTTTTCCGTATATGGCTCTCACATAAATTATAATAGTTTATATCTAAATGTTTTGTAGTTTCTTACTATTGTAAATGGTAATTTATACTTTGATTTTCCAAGGGTTTTTTTTTCCGTTACAAAGAAATAGTATTGATTTTTGTATGCTGGCCTTCCTTTAAGTATCACTTTGATTGAGTTGTTGAGATTTTGGTGCATATCAATTATAGGCTCTAAAAATAGAAGCAATTCTATTTCTTCTTTTCAACTTGTTGGTTTATAATTGTTTTTCTTTAATGCGATGTTTAATATCTCCACCACAACAGCAGATAAATGGGGAAAGTAAATATTTTTGCATTGTTGCTGATCTAAGGAGAAAAACATTTGTTCTGTTACAATCATGTATGCTAGGCAGTTTTGCAGCTGGCTCTTAGCTGTCCTTCACCAAATTAAAGGCATTTCTCTTCTCATCAATCATGTTTCTTCCTGAATGGGTAATGAATTTTTGTCTACTGCCTTTCTGCCAAGTGGATTTTCTTATTTTGGATAATTAAATTTTCATTTTGGATAATTAGAATTTGCCAACTGATTTTTATTAAAATATTTACTTGGTTTTGCATTCCTGACAAATTCTTCTTGTCTATAAGGAAATTCTCTCTCTGTATCTTTTACTTACTCATATTTTCTTGACTGTGTTTAGTAGACTATAGTTGAATCTTCTTTTCCTACAATATTTTTTCTGGGTTTGGTTTCAGATAATTCTGACTTTCCCAAATGTATTAGGAAGTACTGTGGTCTCTTTGTTTTGTCGACAAGTTTGTATAGAATTGGTATAAATTATTAATAAATCATGGCAGTTTTAGATCAGTTTAGCTATTTGCTTTTATATTTTGTTAAATATTCAAGTTATCTTTTTATTAAATGTTAACAGTTTTATTTTAAAGTATTGTTTATTTTCCTGAGTCACTTTACCATTCACTATGCTGCATATAATCTTTCAGAAAGAAAATCTAAGGACTTTTCTTTTTCTCATCTTTAAAGTACAATGCATTTCTTTAAATCATTTTTTGAGCTTAGGAATTGTTTGTTATACATCAATATTCATTACAATGGTATTTTAATGAAAACACAATACTAACTCAATTTTGTATGTATTTAGAGTGACTATTTTATTTGATATCCTTTAATGATAATTTATTTTTATCTAGTCATGCTGATGGATCAATAAAATTTTGGGATGCTTCTGCAAGTAAGTTTTATGTTTATCCTCGTTCAACAGAAAACATTTTGTTAATATTTATTCATGGCCATCCACCACTTTTTAATCTGAATAATTGCCATTTCAGAAATACTTTAGCATAATTATAATTATATTGCTTTGTTACAAAATTCATGTCCTATATTTAGATCAGCTTAAAGTATCTCTACCCTAATTGTATTCAATAATATTAAATAAACAAGATTATGGCCACTCTTTCAACAATCCTGTGTGAAAAAAGAATGTTGCTTCAGGGAAAGAACCAAGTTTTGCCAGATTAACTGTTTGAGGAATTCCCTCTGTGTCCTACATGCATGCTGTTTGACAAGTGCTCTTATTCCTCTGTTCTCAGCTTCCCTATTCCACTGTATAACATTTTGTGAGAATCAAAAGAAATTAATTGAGAACAGTAAAAGTTCTTTTGAACTTTTTGACAATTAGATAATTTACGGAATAACATATGTGGTCAATGTGAAAGGGCCTGTTAACTTACCTGAGTCTTCATTAAACCCATTTATGTCATTCACAAAGCATGTTCTTAAGAAAAGAGAAAGAAATGCACGTGTAAATACATGTCCAACTATGAAGAATCTAAATGCAGTGTAATCAAGTGCTATTCTAATAAGACATGATAGAGATTTATTTGAACCAGTAAATTTCAAGAAAGATTATCTATGTATTTATGTATTTATTTATTTTTCAGATAGGGTATTTTTATAAAGCCTATTCTGAATTCTAAGACCCTCATGCCTCAGTCAATTACATTCTAGGATTACAATTATTCACCATCAGCCCAGTTAGCAAGGCTATTTTAGTGGATTAACAGCTGATCTGAATTTTGTTAGGTAGTTAAAACTCCAGTAGTTCTCAACCTTCTAAGGCTGTGACCCTTTAATATAGTTCCTCATGTTGTGATGACCCCCAACCATAAAATTATTTCATTGCTACTTCATAACTGTAATTTTCTACTGTTATAAATTTTAATATAAATATCTGAGATGTAGGATATCTGATATGCAACCCCTGAAAAAGAGTCACTCGACCCCCTAGGGGTCACGACTCACAGGTTGAGAACCACTGACTTAGACAGTCAAGAATAGGAAGGGAAGAATAAGTTAGCAATTACTTTTAGGTTCTGAGAAAGTGTAACCACGAGCCTTGAAAACAAAAAAACAGAAGAAAACCGACTAATATGACACAAAGATGTTATTTAACCTGCAATTCTATCTCAGCTTTTACCATCTGTCTCAATGATGTCCTTTACAGCAAGAACAACAAAAAAAAGGATCATTTTTTCCATCTAGTTATGTTTTGAGATCTTTAAAGTCTAGAGCGAGCCCAAGTATTTCATGTCACTAACAATTTTTAAAAGTCCAGGCCAATTATTTTGTAAAATTGTCTTGAATTAAGCTAAATACTGTTTCTTGTTAAATTCAAGCTGTACCCTTCCAGCAGAAGCTGCTGGCTTTGGAAACTCTCTTGAAGACCATCCATAGAACAGGAATCTTTTGTTTTATATGGGGAATTGTGTTTTTATTATGTTTTGAAGTAGAAATAACTTCCCCTGAATAAATATTATTGAAAACAATTCATAAACCCAGAGTTTTATCAGCATATACCTGACCCTTTCTTTACTAGAAACACCCAGATGAAATATTTCCTAATACAATTAAAGAATTTATGTCTAAAAAAAGAAAAAAAAACACCATCTAGACTATTATATCTTCCTTTATCAAGCAATTAAAGTGATTGTTGTGAAAAAAAAAAACATGGCAGCATCCCACCCAGGACAGATTTATGTTATGATTTCCATTATAAGCTTTCATAATTCCAATGCTCCTAAACCTTTTTTCTGCTTATAGTTTTCTCTTGATACTACTGACAATGAGGGCATGGCACTGAGGGTTTATTATGTAAACAGAATCTGCCTTACTTGGGTTTACTTTTGTGGTTCAACAAATGTACCAAAGAAAACTTGAACAATGTCTAAGAGTTCAAATCAAATTAGGAAGTAACTGCATCTTAATATTTTATAGTGACTCTGCAGATGTTGTATAAGTTAAAAACGTCTAAAGTATTTGAAAAGCAGAAGGTAGGAGACGGCAAACAAACATGTGAAATTGTGGAGGAAGACCCATTCGCTGTTCAGATGATTTACTGGTGTCCAGAGAGCAGGATATTTTGTGTATCAGGAGTCTCTGCATATGTCATAATTTATAAATTCAGCAGACATGAAATTACAACAGAAATAGTGGTAAGTTACTTTAACTTTCCTATTTATAGCTACTAAAACAATTAAGTAATTGAACTATTACTTGGTATTATTTTTAAGTCCTCAAGAGACAGTATATAATCCATATATAATATATTCTATAGTATTTTAAATTAGTTACTTAATATATTAAAAAGTAGTTTGTTTTCAAATTAACAGTTCTCTAACAAAACTTCTATGTCAAAATGAGCTTGCTATTTTAATCTCACTACAAATTGAACAATATATTGTTCTCTTCTATTTTGCATCTACCTGACAAAGTCAATTCCTCTTAAATATTAATTGTCAATATTATACTATCAGCATTATTTTTACTAATAAAGAAAATTTTCTTATTATAATAGATAACACAGTTAAAGTAGGTATTATATAGTACATGCCTAAAGATATATATGCATGTATGCATTTAATTAGATAGTGTAGAGTTTTGCTTTCTGCATAAGTATCAAATTAGTGTAGGCTTTGTCCTTTTTAAAAAATTAACTGCTGTATGTTTTCTTGTTAACTAGCTGTCATATGATTATTTCTCAACTATATTAAGGTTATTCTTAATGGTTTTTATGTAGTAAAAATTTTACATGGTAAAAATAATTACAGCATTACCTTACCAAAATTTTAATTTTTAAATTCATTACATAAAATTCTGATTATAAAAAACAATGATGTTACTAAGGTATTGATGACATCTAAGTTAATATACCTGTAATTTTCCTATTCTGTCCTATGTAATTTACCCTTTTTTTTTTACCCAAATATAAGAATTATTTCATAGAGGACTTTTTTTGTGTTTTTACCTAAACTAAAATTAATGTCATTCTTTTAGAGTATATTGAAAGCCTGGGGCTTAAGATCACAGGTGCCTAAGTTTCAACCCTAATTTTACCACTGATTGTGTGTGTGTGTGTGTGTGTGTGTGTGTGTGTGTGTGTGTGTGTGTGTGTGTGTGTGTGTGTGTGCGCGCGCGCGCGCGTGTGAGAACTCAATCAGGGTGTGAACCTGAAGGTTAGAACTGATACAGACATGGTGGAGAAACACTGCTTACTTGCTTGCTCCCCAAGACTTACCCTTCCTTCTTACACAACTCAGAACCATCTGCCCAGAGTTGGCTCCACCCACAGTGGGCTGGCCCTCCCATGTCAATCACTAAGAAAATACTCCATAGGCTTGCCTACATGCCAATCTGTTGGGAGACATTTTTTTTCTTTTTTTTTTTTTTTTTTTTTTTTTTTTTTTTTTGGTTTTTCGAGACAGGGTTTCTCTGTGTAGCTTTGCGCCTTTCCTGGAACTCACTTGGTAGTCCAGGCTGGCCTCGAACTCACAGAGATCCGCCTGGCTCTGCCTCCCGAGTGCTGGGATTAAAGGCGTGCGCCACCACCGCCCGGCCGACATTTTTTTCAATGGAGGCTCCCTTCCCCAAAATGACTTTAGCTTGTGTCAAGTTTATAAAACAAGTCTGAGAATGTGTTTGATATATTGTTCGTCCCAATAAATTTATCTGGATATCAGAGAACAAAACAGCCACTATATAAAACATAGAGGTTAGGCAGTAGTAGCACACCCCTTTAATCCTAGCATTCTGGAGGCAGAGATCCATGTGGATCTCTGTGAGTTCAAGGCCACACTGGAAACAAAGCCAGGCATGGTGGCACACACCTTTAATCCCAGCTCTTGAGATCACATATCTTGCTTGGGAAAGACACATGCCTTTAATCCCAGGAAGTGAGGGCAGCTGAGATCAATTCAGATGAAGACTCAGAAGCATTCAGTTTGAGGAAACAGGATTGGCTGAGAAGTTGGCAAGGTGAGGTTGGCTGTGGCTTGTTCTGCTTCTCTGATCTTCCAGCTTTTACTCCAATACCTGGCTTCTGAGTGTTTTTATTAATAAGACCTTTTAAGATTCGTGCTACATGAGAAAACACAGGAATATTCATTATATAATAATTTATTTTTACTAATAGGCATCTTTCTTATAGGTCTGAGGAACTAAAGATTATGTTTCTTTGGTCATTGTCATTGAATAGTCCATATAATTCACTACTTAATTCAGCCTGAAATAATTCTCAAATTGAGTATAAGCTATCGAATTTGCTGATCTAAAAATTAAGAATAATTTCTAAAAACCTCAGATATTTTAATGTAGATACCATTATTATTATAACTTAGACTACATTAAAGCCTGACTTTTTTAGTCATTAGAGGTACGACTTCAGTGTGATGTTGAAGATATTATTACCCCCGAGCCAGAAACCAGTCCGCCATTTCCAGATCTCTCCTCTCAACTCCCCTCTTCAAGGAGTCTCTCCGGAAGCACTAATACTGTGTCTAGTGAAGGAGTGATGAAGGATAGCATCCCGTGCCTCAGGTAAGAACTACTTCCAAGTGCCAAATCATGTACCTATGTTAATTATGGAATTCTTGCACACTGTAACAGATAAAGTTTCATTCTCCCTCATTGTTAAATGAGTTACAAGAGCATCATTTCTCTTTAAATAGCTCCAAAAAAAAGCACACAGTGTTTTTATACTTAATTTGCTTATTTATATTTTTTTCCCAGAAAGATTTTAAAGAAAACATGACTTAGATAAAATGAGAAATTTAACAAGTCAATTTAATTTAAATTTAACCCTGACCTGTTTTTCTAATTAGTAATTGTTGTTAAACGTTTTACTCAGTATATCTAAGTTTAAAAACATAATAAAAAAGTTTAGCTTGTAAAGCTCATAGCAAAATTTATCTTGCTTTTATGCTTTTCATGACAGACTTTATAGGTTATTACTTTTATGTTGTCTAATAAATGTTTCTAATGTTAGCTGCTTGGAGAATTCAGCTTAAGCAAGGGTTTTCTCTAAGCCACATATGACAATATATATATTTCTATTACTTAAGAACTCTAGAAAGCTTGTTTCTTTCTTTCTTATGCAAATATGTATGGAAAATTTAGAGATAAAATTTCAACAACAAAAGCTATACAATTAGCAGTAATCCATAACTTTCTTCAAAAAGAAATTTTTTTCAAAAAGGAAATATAGTTGGAGAAAAAAATCTATAAGCAAATAAAAAATCATTAAATTTTAGCTAGAGAAAAGCTTTTTATAAGTTTATAAATATGTATTTTTTATGTTTACTTCTTTGTGTGCATGTATACACACATACCATTCTGTACATGTGAATGTCAGAGGACAACCTGTAGGAATCTGTTCTCTCCTTCCATCTTGTAAGTCCTGGGGATGAAGTTCAGGTCTTTCAGGCTTGATGGCAAGAACCTTTACCTGCTGAGCTACCTTGCCAGTCCATTTCTCTTTTTAATTTTCCTTCATACCACTTTACTGCATTTAACTGAACTCAAAGAAAATGAAAACCAATATAATGTCAGAACACTTAAAATAGCACAGTAGAGCTATTTGTTTGTTTTCTAAGAAGACCTATCACTAGAGCACAGATCTTCTAGTTATCTAGACATTTATAAAATGAAGAAGAATTGAAGATAGGGGTGGTGGAGAAAAACCAGTGAAATAAAGGTCTGGTTGTGAAGAAGAAGTAGCCATTAACAATTATTGACACATACTTGAGAAACACTGAAGTAAATCTCATCTACATTCTTGCCCCCAGTGTTAAATATTTTTGAAGCATAATTCTATGTAAATTCTTAAGATGCATAAGCACGCTAAAGCTGTGTGTAATAGAATTACACTTTCTCATCCTTCTAGTGTTAAAACACGGCCAGTGCGAATGCCGCCAGGCTATCAAGCAGATCTCGTTATTCAGTTGGTGTGGGTAGATGGCGAGCCTCCTCAGCAGATTACCAGCCTTTCTATAAGCTCAGCGTATGGAATGTAAGTAGTTAAACTTTCTTTCTGTTTAGTATTACAGAATTTTAAACAGTTTATGTTTCTTTTAAAAAATTTAAAACTAAAGAATTAGAATAATTCTAGTTCAATTTTTATTCGATTGACTGTAGTATGATACATTAATAATTAAACTTATGCTATGATTATTTTATTTTTCTTTTCCTTGATTTCATATTAGTGATAATGCTCTGACTTCAGATTTCTCTTTTTGGACTGATTCAGATGTTCGGCCCCCCTTTTTCTCTTTGTTTCACTCTGGGTAGCTTCTTTTGACCTGTCTCTAGAGTTCACTTCTACTTTGTCTAACTGATAGTAGATCTATCTGCAGAGTTTGGTTTCCGTTACACTTGCAAATGGAGGAAGTTTTAGGTTTCTGATGAAAACTGACTCTTTATCCTTCTCGGGGTTCCTAGTCTCAGTTGTAATGTACTTGAACAGTGGAATCCATAATCCCCATTACTTGATATGGTAAGAATATGTATTGTTTTCTACCCCAGTTAACTTGAAGATGGGTGAGTTCAAGCAGTTTCAAGATACCCTTCTCAAAAGACTGGCCTTCGAAGGCAGGGGAGAGGAGGATCAGAATTAAAGGCTGTGGAGAGATGCCCCTCAGTTCAGGAACTGAAGAGAGCTAGAGTAAATCATTAGAGAAAACATTTTCTGTGTATAGGAGCTCCACTGAGGAGCGCTTGAGAATGGCAACTTGGGTGCTTGCCTTACAGAGCTTCAGTTGCAAAAACCCCACCTCAAATCATCATCAAAGTGATACACCAAGTATTAAAGAAATAAATATTATACTTATTATACAGATTCTTTCTGAGATTTATGAAAGATGAAATCATGCTTGTCTCATTTTATGAAGTAACATAAATTTGAGGACTTGAAAATGTTATTACAAGAATGGGAAAATTAAGTCTATGACTTATATCAACATAAATTAAAATTCTATTCAAAATATAAATAAATCTATCAAGAAAAATGGTAAAATTATTTATAACCAAAGTTCATTTGCATTGGGAATGTAGATTGTTTTATCATTTTAAATGAATCAGGGCAATTTATCAAATTAACAGAATAAAGTAGAAAAAGCATATGATTATATCAGGTATGCAAAAACAAAAAGCATATGAGAAGCTGCCCGTGCTCCAGCAGATAGAGCTGTACCATTCACTTACTGGAAGTTCTGAGTAGACTCAGGGTTAGAACCACATGACCACTTGAAGCTGGGAAGAAATGGTGGGAAGTGAATGGAGAAGAACTGGACAGAGAGTACGAGGGATAGACTTTGTATCAAAACACATTGTATATGTGTACAAAATTCTCAGACAATAAAACACACACACAGTAACATTCAATACCCACTGGTGAGGTTAAAAGAAGCTACTAGTTAAACTGTGAAGACCATTTCCTTACTCTAATACATTGCAACAAGCACTGCACTTTTTGGTGAAATGATAGACATTTTACCTCTGAGATTAAAAAAAAATAAAAGACAAGTATCTTAGTTTATTTGGGCTGCTGTAATAAACCACCTTAGACTGGTTAATTTATACACAACAGAAGTATATTTATTACTCAGATCTGGAGCCTGGGAAGTCCAAGATGAGGGCATCAGCAGATTCAATGTCTGACAAGGGCTCACTGTTTCAGAAATGGCATCTGAGTGCTTCCTCATGTAGAAGATACAGCGAGCAAGCTTTCTCTCCTCATAAGGGACCTGATCTCATCTGTGAGATGGAAGTCCTCAAGACTGAAAGACTCCACATCTCAATACCATTGCCTTTGGGTTTATGTTAAACATACTTTATAATACACATTATATTTGTCAATTGTCATGTACTGTTTAAGCTTACTGAGAAGCTGGCTCTGAAAAAAGGGTTGATCTGCTCCCTCATTTCAAGCGTAAGCATGTTTCTCCCAAAATGTCCTCCAAAGTCCCTTGTCTAGGGACAGGCTGGCCCAATAGCCTTGTGACATGGAAAAAAAGCAACCAACAGACCGTATTGAAAACACTGTGTCCTTGAGAACAGCTAGGAAGAAAAACCATTTTCAACAGAGGCTTCTGCTAATTATCACTATGAAAATGTCTTCAGTGGGAGTTAGAAGCCAGAAGCTCATCCAGAAAGAGGAAGTACAGTCTGGAACTCCAGCTGACTGCCTCAACTTCCCCAATTGATGTCTGTCAGATAAGCCCTAAACTTTTTATTCTCTTTGTTTGTTCTCTCAAGCAGGCTACTCCAGAATGTTCTCTTCTCAGAGCTATAACCTGAATTGATGATGTTTCCCTATCTGTTTTGTGCCTATTTGTTCTTTCACTTCTGCTTTCTATAAACTTAATAAATTCACTAATTCACAACTGAAGATATTTCTATTGTAAGTCCTTTTTCAGACCACATAGAATGCATGATTTGGGGGAGCTACAGAAATTCAGACCATAGTTTTCTGCTCCAGATTCCCCAAAATTCATGTATTTATCAGCTGCAAAATAACATTTATTCAACATTAACAGTTCTAAAAGTCTTGTCTATAAGATCTCAGCTTGCAGTTTCATCTAGATGTCATCTGAATAAGATATGCATGAGGCTCAAAGTATGATTGATTGAGAGGTAAATTCCATTTCCTCCAAAGTTTCATTCACCTATGTAAAGTTATGATTCATGTGTCAAGCTTTTCTCTAGCCATGATCCTATGCAATTATATGCTTCTAAAAAAAATTAGCAATCATTTTGTCCCATCATTCCATGAGTCATAAATATGGTAAAGTGGATAGTGGTAGATGCACTAGTAGGAAGATTACAACTCCAGTAGTCATTGCCCTCATAGGTGTTTTCTTGCTCTTCTTTGTCAGTTTTTGGGCTAGGACCCAAAGCCCCTAGGGCGACATCTTTAGAAGTGTTGATGGAAGAGAGCAAGCCCCCTGTATTTGTATTTGTGTGCCATGGGAGCTGACATGAGTTGGGTATCATCAAATTTTGTGACCTGAGTATTTCTGAGGGGCAGCTGTGTGTGTGGCCCATAATGCACTGAAGCTACTGAAGTTGTACATGGAATTGATACAAACCACTATTAAAGAATGAGTAGGAGAAGCACACCAAACACCAAGAATCCTTAGTCTTTGAATGTCCCTCTTGATATGCAGTCCCATGTTCTACACATTTACACTCCAGGACTGTGATGATCATGTAGGCCCATTTATCTCAAAAATGGCTTTACATAATTCTTCCATTGTCTTCTTGGATAGCACATGACTCCTACTTACTTTGTAATTAGAATTTTTAATGCGATTTTCACATTTTACTTAAAGAGAAAAACTATTTCTTTTTAGAACCATCATTAACTTGAATATCTTAAAAATGTTTTTCATAATGCTTTAGAATATATCATCCATATTCTTTATTTCCAGATTAAAAGTTTTTGTTTTTCCTTTTTAATTAATGTACAATCACACATGTATATGGAAATAGTAATATTTCATTAGCTATATAAAATGTATAGTAGTCAAATCAAAGTGATAAGCATTTCTATCTCATTTAATCCCATTTGTCAACTTTTTCTTTTGTTATTCTTTTGAGTCTTCATCATTGCCTGTACTGATGTGTTTCCTTTATATTCCACTAGTTTCAGAGTTTCAGATCTTCCACTTGGGTTTTTCATTTATTTTGAAGTGGTTTTTAATATAGGCTGAAATATAGCAGTTATTTCAGTATTCTATGTATATATCAAGTTTCCTCAGCACTTTTTATTGAAAAGGCCATCTTTTCTTCAATATAGATTGTTGGTGCCTTTGTTGAGTATAAGTTGGCTATCTACCCTGAATACATGTACATTTATTTCTGGGATTGCTCTTTTGTTGGATGACATGTCTATTTTATGTCAGACTTATTTTGACCACCATGATTCTGTAGAACTTAAGATTCAGTACATTACTTGTTTCCATTATGCTTCCTTTAGCTATTTGGAGTCTTCATGCTTCCATATAAACTTTAAGATTTTTTTTCTGGTTTTGTGAAAAGTGTCATTGTTTTTTTGTTAGGGATTATATTGAATCTTTGAAAAAACAGATTTATTTTATTTTATGTGTCTGAGTGTTTTGCCTGTACATGTGTGCTTGGTACTTGTGGAAGCCAGACAAGAGTATGAGATACTCTGAAACTGGTGTTGCAGAAGGTTCTAGGAATTGAATCTGTGTCCTCTTGAAGAGCAGCCAGTGCTCTTGGCTGCTGAGCCATCTCTTCAGCTCCTATATTGAAATATTACTGCAACTAATACAAATATTTTAATAATGTTAGTTCTTCCATTATAAGAACCAAGCAGGTTCTCTACTTTTGTGTATTTTTCTCAGTCTCTCTCTGTCTCTGTCTCTCTCTGTGTGTGAAGGTATGTACATGTCCAAATGTGTGAGGGCACACATGTACGTGGATATCAAGAATTTAACATGTCTTCTTCAGTCACTCTTATTTGCTGAGGCAGTCTTTCACAGAACCCAGAGCTAGCCAGTTTGGCAAATCTAGTTAGCCCACTATCCTGGGGATCCATTGTCGCTATCTCCAGAGCTCTCATATACACCCATTTGGCTTTCACATGGGTGCTGGGATCTGAGCTGCAGTTCTCATGCCTACAGAGTGTTCTCTCTGGTCCAGAGAATGATCCGTGATAGCTGTGCTTTGTTTTGAATGAGTGAGTTTATTAAGTATGTAGCAAGTACAAATAAAGGAAAAAACAGCAAGTACAGCTAGATAAAGTAACAGATGGATAGCAAAACATCAAATCAGTTCACAACATCCAGCAAAGGCCACAAGAATAGCCTGATTTGAGAGAGCAAACAAAAGTAGTATGATCAAATCAAGGACTTACAAACATGGCAGAAATCAGCAGGGAAAGCTGAAGCAGTCAGTTCTGGGAGTTCAGATTGAGTCTTCTTTCCCTGGACCATCCTCTGGTTTTCTGTTCCTGCTGCAAGCATTGCTATACTGTGAGATAAACAA